ACTTCAGATTTATGCAGACTTTAGAAATAATAAGATATTTACTTTAAGCTCCATATAAGCATTATAGAAAGAGGCAGTAGTGAAAGGAGTACTGAAAAATCTTAAAGTATCCTAAAAGTATCATTACTTGCCTAAAAATAGGCAAGTAAAAGTATAGTGCGAGTAAAAGTATCTGTTGTAAATATTACTTAAAGTATGAGTAAAAAGACCTTTCAAAAGTACTCATGAGTAGTAATATGCTGTAAAAGCTGATGCATGTAATTTGTGGATGTACAGTGTGTAAACGTAACATTCTGTAGTGCATTTACTCATTGCCCAGCAGGCACACACCATCATAAGACATTAAATATGGGTTAGATTTAGACCGTGATGTCAGGTGACCAAAATTCAATGTCTACCCCGCATCTAAGAACAAAATTATTTTGATGTCCAATAGCCAATTTAGGCTGTGTTATAAAGTGACTAAAATCCAACGTCAAGCCAACCTGTTAAACCATTGTCATACTGACATCAAATACTGCCATTTATTCATCAGGTATGGCAACCAAAATCCAACATATGACAGACATTATAGTGGAAATGTCCACACAATGTCAAGCTGTAACATCATTAGACGTTAATGTTTGGTTGATTTTTAGGTTGGACATTGACGTCGGCCTAACGTTGGGTTCTGATGTCAAGCCTATTTTCATTTCCAAACAAAATGCAATGTCCCCACAATGTTGGGATAGAAGATCAATCTGACGTCATGTTGACGTTTTGTTCTTGCTGGGTGTTTAAGACCATTTCGGTCATCATATAGTAAATATCCGTCATCATCTCATCAGTGATGTGCATCTAAACAGTCTCTAGGACTTTGCATGTAAATATTTTGTACATCTTCTAGGACACTTTTAATACTTCCAAACAGTTTGCTGCAATTATAAAGCGCCCATGTCTTTAGGTAGTTCATTATGATGCGATTTACCTTCTTTGTGTGATTTGATTGGACAGGAATCACAGGACTGGTTTTGCTAATCCCTATAGACAAGAAAACATAAAGTAGTGACTGCAGGTTGAAGGAAAGTAGTGGAATAAAAGTACTGATATTGCACTAAATATGTACTCAAGGGAAAGTAAAAGTACATTACTTAGTAAATTAAAATTCCTGAGAAAAGAGTAATTTGAGTATTTGGAGTTTGTTACTTCACACCACTAATTTCTAAGGGATTTCTAAGGGATCTTGTAACAGTGTTGGGGTAATGCATTAAAATTTAATGATTATGATGATGATAATATTACAATTCAGCCATGCCATCAAAAAAATTACATTTTACATTTATAAAAATATAACTTAAAGTATTAATAAAACAGCACACATGAATGTATTGATTTTGATGTCATTTACTATATCCAAAGAAGGAGGTTTACAAATGCATGAAATAATATGCAAACAGTTAATGCAGTAATTCCCATAAATGAGAGCGACAGTTGCCCAGATTAGTTTGGATCCTCTTTTAATACAGAGACATGGCAAGTCTATGCTTGTTCCTCTGCCCTCCTACAGCACGTTTTAACCCTGGTACATGGTGTTCTCCATAAAAGTAAAATGATTTATGAATTAATGAACAGATCCACTCTTTTTTGATGGGGTAATAATAATACAGTGTCGCCAACAAAATTCTCTTTTTCTTTTTATGAGTGTGATGAGACAAAAAGTGCAGAAAAAAAAAAGTTTTGTTGCGTGATCAGTTGATCTGGAATATCAGGCTAATAAGAAATGGCCAGAGGGAGGAAAACTTAATTGCGTCTTTAAAACTAGCCACAAAAAAATGGATATGTAAGACTTGTTCCTCAGACATAACATCTGAGATTTTTCTTTCATTGTCATCTAAAGCTGTCATAACAAGATCATAGCAGACCGTAACTGTCATGCTTGGTGTTCTCACAAAGCACCCGAATCATCAGTGTGTTGATGTACAGTATTCGGCCCGTATGCTTGTGCTGTGTTTACATGTCTCACGTTTCTCAGTCGCGTGTTTCATCCATTGTAGGAATGAAGCCATTGCCTCTTTTCTTCACCCTATCAGACACCCGCCCCGGCTTATCCTGAGCCAATCGGAAGAGCCGTTGAGCAGTGTTAATGAGTTTATCGTGAACCCGGCCTCCGCTGTTAGCAAACAGACCTTTACTAGATGTCAGACATGACTGATTGGCACATTGTTTGAGGATGAAGACCCAGTTTTCTTAACAGAATTCCTCTAGATCGCTCGCTTAGCCACCCACACAGCAGCATGCAGAGCCTCACCTTACCACAGCAGCCCATATGATATAAGTTGTTACCTGTGAACTGGTCCACAAGTCATCTTCTTTTTCATTCTTCATATCTTATCATCCTTGTCTGTTGATGATGGATGGGTTGACATAGTAATGGCAGATGGGATTGTAATTAATCGGTTTAAGCACTAGGGTTTAGATGTCCTTTTGGTTCACTTATGTTATGTGTTTCTGAAACTAAAACATTTAGCAATATCTTACTTGAACATTTTGCTACAAAATAGTTAATTCCTTTGGCAGACTTTTATTCAAAAATTGTGTGTTTGTAAGATTAAGTTGAAAGATTAATTTAGATTAATGTTAATTTGTTTTATACTTATAACGACTGAAAAAAGAGCAGAAATCAAGTAATAATGTGTAGTATTTTTAACCCTTATGTACTGTTGAGGATGTTTTCATCCACTGTGGGCTGATTTTGAGTATTAATTTGGCCAAAACTTTTTCTGTGTTTTAGCTAGCAGAATGATTTTTGGTGACAAATCTTATTTTGAGAAAATGCTTTGAATAAAAAAAAACCTCAGCATTACATTCTGGGCAAATATACTACCTTTTTGTTATGTTCGGGATGAAAACATCCACTGATCTAATCTGCTGTAAAAATGCATCAGATAATTACATTTTTAAATATATTTTTTGTTTAAATCTGTTAATCAACCTCAGTCCTGATCAAAACTACTCAATTGCTTAGTAAATTACAGTATTTTAACTCTTTAATTACCAAATTCATTATTGTTGTTACTGATTTGGTGGAAAAAAAACACACAAAATGATGAATTTTCAGAATAAAAGGTAATTGTGGACTGATTTTTTTTTTTTCGTCTTGGACATGTGAAACAACATCATTTTTGATGCATTGTTTTTGATTAAATGTAATTTTTTTTTTCTCCCTAATTTACTGTTGGTGGCTGTTTTTTGCTCCATTGACTCCCATTATAACCACATTATTTTGAATGCAAAATCATGGCACCGTATAAACATGCATTGTTGATTGTTGGGGGTTTTCCCTGTTGGGAAGAGGTAAAACTTGTCATTTTTACTGTTAACCATCAGTTGGCACCATTAACCATTTAGCCTGTGCAAAAAAAAGAAATAAAAACAAAGACTGTGTATTTATGCATCAAATGTGGTTGTAATGAAAAAAAAAATCTAATAATGCATTATATGGTGTTACTACTCGTTCATGTGTCTATGGTTGTGATAAAAGGAAAAAAAAAAAATTACTATTTATATTAGAAATATGTCATTTTGTGTGTGTGTGTGTGTGTGTGTTTTTTTTCCCACCAAATCAATTATAATTTATGAGTTGGCAATAGAAGAGTTAAAATCCTGTAATTTTCTAAACAATTTAGTTGTTTTTATCAGGGCTGAGGTTCATTAACAGATTTATGTAAAAGAAATTGAAATTATTTATTTACCATAAAATGGTTGTAAATTTGAACAGTGCACAAGGGTTAAAATAATAATATTATTATTATTAATATTATTATTATTATTATTATTATTATTATTATTATTATTTTATTATTATTATTATTATTATTATTATTATTATTATTATTATTATTATTATCATCTATTATTATGATGGATATGTTTTTCAGCAGTCATTACCCCAGTCTTGGGTGTCAAATTTTTTATTTTATTTTATTCTATTTTGATTAGTTAAATTTTATTTTATTTTATTTTAATGTAATTTATTTATTTTATTTAAAACATTATTTTATGTCGATGCTCAAACTTTTCGTTGTCATAACATGCATTTAAACTTTTACAGAATTATCTGACTATTAGAAAAAGAAACAGATGTATTTTTGTTGTATTATTTAATTCTTCACATGCACTTTTGTTTTGTTTAATGTATGCTTATTGAAATTAAGTATTAACAACATCCAATAAAAACATGAGATTATTTTAGTTAATATTTATTAATAATATTTATTTAAGATAAACAATGAACAATGCTATAGTTAGTGTTTATTCATGTTATTTAACATTAGTTAAGGAAAATAAAGTTGTTTATTGTTAGTTTATTTTAACTGCATAAATGTTAAGAAGCATAAGTTTGAATTTTAATTATGTGATAGCAAATGTTGAACAAACTGAGACAAACTAACTCCAGAAGAACTTAACATCTCTAAGATGCTTAAAAAACCTACCTGCAAGGCTACAGTACTGTTCACAGTAAGGCACTTGTGTAACAATGCTGTAAAATAAGGATGCTTTCAAAAATAATGGATAAATGCATTTTATTTATCAATGAATGTATGTTAACTAAATCTAATCAACATTTGGTATGACCACACTTTGCATTTAAAACACTATGTACACGTGCCCTTAGTTTTTCAGCTAGCTTTGTAGGTGGGTTTTAGATGCATCTTAGAGATGTTGTCAAAGTTCTTCTGCATTTAGTTTGTTCTGTTTCTTCATGTCATTCCAGACAGACTGGATGACGATCAGATCAGATCTCTGTGTGGACTCCTTGTGCAGACAATAATCTCACTGTATAATTACAATAATGACAAAATTGATGTTTGGAAATGTAAAGACAAAAAAAATTGAAATAACTCACTTTAAACCTTTTTTTTTTTTTTTTTTTTTGGAGGGGGTTTGTGAAAATATTAGTGGCCTAAGACTTTTGCACAGTACTGTATATATAAATATTTACATATTTTTCTTTCTTTTAGTTGAATGCAGCCAATCAGCTTCTCCAACAGGCCCAGCAGCCACACAGCTACTTGATTGAAACCGTACGCCAGAGAGACTCTCAAATCCACACACTGAAAGACCGTCTCACACACTTAGAAGAGGAAATGAGGTAAAGGAAAAGTAAATAATGATCACAGTTTACGGATACATCCTGTTTTTAACACAACAGCACCCTTTGAAATCTTTACAAAGCTTTTATTTTGAAAGGATGTAGGTGAAGCCTTTATAGAAACGTTGCCATTGTTTTTTCACAATAGCTGAAACGGTTTTTAAACCCTAATGCACTCGTGATCCAAAGCATGCGTTTGTATTGACACAGGAAAGATAGTAGGTAATATCTGGAATATCTCAAATACATTCCACTTTACTAAGGAACAAAGGTTATACACCTGCCGATAAAGGTCAGCAGCCATGCCTACCTGACAGCTTCTTAGTGCATGTGCGTGCATGTACGGGTGACTGGATACTTTTACAAGTTTTTCTTGGCTTTGTCACTTGTCAATGACAGGTGTAATCCCTTACCTGTATATGCAAACTGTACAAGCAGGTTTGTACCTGTAATTGTGCTATTTGAGGTTCTTCAGGGGCTAATGTGAGAAACATGCAAATGACTCTCCTAAGTTATTTCATGAGTTCACACTAAGCTTGTTTGGTATGCTGTCCCGGGAGGGAGCCCCGGGCACGAGGATCTTATGAGCTCAGGGCTCTCTCCCGGGACAGCATGCTTGCATGATGAGAAGGAAGTTTGAGCTCAAGTAGATTTCAAGAACTCCCCTGCTGTAGTAGCTAATGAACAGATAGTGATTGCTCTTAAGAGATAACAACTTACTAGGTGCATATCTATGATGCAGATTTAGATTAGGCTAGGGGTGTTCAAACTCGGTCTTGGAGGGCTGGTGTCCTGGAGAGTTTAGCTCCAACCCTAATCAAACACACCTGAACCCACTAATCAAGCTCTTTAGCTGCGGTCACACTGGACATTTCTCCTCATAGACTTCCATTCATACGCACCCGAATGCTTCAGACCGGAAACGCAGAGTAATTAGAAATCTCATCACTTGACTGCGTGAGACCAATCGAGGATCAAAACATGAACTCTCTGGACAGAAATTTAAAATATGGAGCAATCGCTAATTTTTTTTAATGTCTAATCATCTTGTTTAATCCTGCCCCTTTTTGCAGTGCCGTACGACAGAATTTCGCACACACAAACTCTAGTGTGACTGCAGCTTTACTACATATATTAGAAACTAACTGGCAGGTGTATTAAAGCAAGTTGGAGCTAAACTAAGCAGGACCCTGAGTTTGGACATCCCTGGTGATACAAAGACAATGGCTGTATTCGAAACACCATACTTCCATACTATATAGTACACTAAAATCAGTATGCGAGCCGAGTAGTATGTCTGAATTCATAGAATTCGAAAATCAGTATGCGAGTCGAGAAGTGCCCGGATGACATACTACTTCTGAAGTGCGCATCCCATGCACGCTGCGCTATCCCATGGCGCCCTGCAAGAGAATTCATAAATGGGAGTGAAACAACACAAATGACGCAGGTAGGTCAAGTGACTATGACAAAATGGCGGAATTCCATTCATACTTCTCACATTCATACTGTATAGAACGTAGTTTTCTAACGGTCGAGTAGTACATTAAAATTCAAATGCATTATCTACTAAGTAGTAGGTTGTTTCGGACACAGCCAATATGTCTCTTTTTTCCTGATGATGAAATAGGATCAAAATCCTGCCTAATTTAAGGCCGACTTGACGTAGGAGTGCAGATTCCCACCCACTGAATTGATCGATAGCCGCGCATTAACATGTCTCTGTTATAATGCATATAAGCATATCAACAAGACAGGACGTATGCAAAGCAACCGGAATTACAAGATTCATTTAGTTTGCTGTGATCATCATTAAATGTGATCAAGAATGAGTTTTTACAACTTTTAAACGTTTTTTAAACAGTGAATGTTTGTAATTACAGCGATTTTACAGTCTTTATCACCACAGCTCCATGTCTGTACAATTATAAAAGAAGATGCTTCAATCCCAGTTTGTGGAGTTTAAATCAGAGTTAGTTTGTACTTTAACAACACATTTCCTTACAGCAGTGGATATTAACGTGTATCCTCTCACATTTGCTATGCAAAAACGTGTGTTGTGTGTGTTGTGTGTTTTGTGTGTGTGTGTGTGTGTGTGTGTGTGTGTGTGTGTGTGTGTGTGTGTGTGTGTGTGTGTGTGTGTGTGTGTGTGTGTGTGTGTGTGTGTGTGTGTGTGTGTTTTGTGTGTGTGTGTGTGTGTGTTTTGTGTGTGTGTTTTGTGTGTGTGTTTTGTGTGTGTGTGTGTGTGTGTGTGTGTTTTGTGTGTGTGTGTGTGTGTGTGTGTGTGTGTTTTGTGTGTGTGTGTGTGTGTGTGTGTGTGTATTTATCTGTGTTTATATGAACTTTGTAACGTCATTATGTGTGACTAAATGTTGCAGAAAGGCTTGAATTAACTCCACAACAAATACATCACATAATCATTAGGAAAGTTCTTGCTTTAGTATTTCTCACAAACGTTACGTGAGATCTGCTTCCTTCATGTCTGTCACTGTGTCTGTCATCTGACATAGCTACCCATGGTGAGTGGGGTGAACTAGCATTAAAGGCACATCAACAAAAACAGCTACATTGTGTTCAGAGCACAAAATTTCAATAAAAATTTCTAAAATTATAATAAACAGTTTGATGGGTTTATTGAGTTTTACAGATACATTCTGCAGACACTAAAGACTCATCTTAAATCTGAAAAAAGAGGTAAAATATGTGCTCTTTAAATAAGAAAGTGCATTATGTATAAAGTTATTGCCTCTCAAAAGAAAGTCGTTTCTTTTAGATTATTCATTCTTTAAATGGATCTTTAGCCATTTTGTTATGATGTATGAGTAAAACATTGCTCGTCCACTCTGTGCACACAGATCTGGGCAAACTTCAACCTCCCCTCCCTCGAACACTGCAGCACTGTGGCCCTCAACTTTTTAAAGCCCAAGATCACTGACCTCAGTCTTGCTTAAAGGCAAGATCTACCCATCAAAAACTGACAGAAAAGTAAAACATAATTGCATTCCCAATGTGAGACCTTTAATCTAGCATTTTTGAACTATGTAAGAAGCACTAGTTGAACCTGTTTTAAAAGCAAGAAAATGACGTATAGTGGGGTGGAAAATTTGGTAAAAATGTACTGTGACATTAGTTATAATCAGACCATATGAAGTGCCACTGACAAAAAAAAGTGACATTCGCTAACAATAAAATAATTTCACTGGCTAAGTTTACAAGCACCCAAATATTGCAATTGGATTGATGGTTCAGATTAAAAAAAACTTTCATGTAAATGTTGATTGGACATTAAATGAGTTTTAAAGGTAGATAAATGAAGGTGCTCTTTTCGTGGATGAGAAACCATAACGCAGCTCACCTACTAACCAATTGTATTCCTTATAATGTACATTATTTATATTTATATTTATAAAACATGCTTGTGTCCATTTTATACTTTTTTATAGCTTTGCATGATGTCACACTATGATTTATGTAATAATTTAATCAGAATGTCATATGATTAAAATGCTTATAAACAATAATTTGAATCCGATTACAATGTTTAAAGTACATGTAAACAGATCTGCGATTGGATTCAATGAATTCAGATTAATGAAAATTAGTGCATTTAAACATAGCCCCTGATACTTCTGCAGGAAGGCCTAGTAGGTTAGCATTTTATAAATTATTATAAAACTACAAATAATTATAACAACAACAACAGTATTTAACATACAAAAACAAACATTATAACATGACTCAGAAATTGTAACAAAATTTTTTCACATATTTTGCAGCACCAATTCACAAAAGAAAGTTTTAAGACCTGAAGAGTGCGTTCTTCGCGAAGATATTTTTGATGGTGTTAAAAAGTGAAATAATTGATTAGTAATAAATGCAGATGGAGAGATTAGTATTGGCAAATGGTGTGCAAACAGATGCTAGTATGCAGTCAGTGAGGTGTATGCCATTTATTTATTGGCCAGTGATTTTACATTATTCTCGTTTGAAGAGTTTTATTTTCTTGACTGCCTCTGTCAAGCCCCCCAGGTTGTGCGTTTGTTTACAGCTCAGTGGTTAACTCTGTACAAAATGGACTTTCAGTTGGTAAACTAAGAGATAAATACCTGCAGCTCACTGTTTGTCAGCACTCATTACTCAAGCAATACAGTTGACAAAGAAGATTTGCTCTGTTGAAATACAGTTTTTGCCCTTTATGACTTCCAGTGCTGCATTGCACTTGACTTTTAAACTCATGTAGGTTGACTTGAAGACAACATATCTTTTGTATTGATTTTGTTAGCTGTTCTCACTGTTTCGCTGTAAAGTATTTACCTCATTAATGACCATATTATATATAACAAGTAAGCTTGTTGTTTGCATAAAATTAAAGAAAAGGGATTTTATTTAAAGGCACATTAAAATCAAGTTTCTTTATACATATAAACATATACTCACCAGCCACTTTAATAGGTACACCTGTCCAACCGCTTGTTAGCACAACTTTCTAATCAGCCAATCACATGGCAGTACTCAATGCATGTAGTCATGTAGACATGGTCAAGACGATCTGCTGCAGTTCAAACCGAGCATCAGAATGTCGAAGAAATGTGATTTAAGTGTCTTTGAACTTGGCATGGTTGTTGGTGCCAGACGGGCAGGTCTAAGTATTTCAGAAACTGCTGATCTACTGGGATTTTCACGCACAACAATCTCTAGGGATTATAGAGAATGGTCTGAAGAGAAAATATCCAGTGAGTGGCAGTTTTGTGAAAAATTTTGATAGAAAGGCAACAGTAACTCAAATAACCACTTGTTACAACCGAGGTATGCAGAAGAGCATCTCTAAATGCAAAACAGGTCAAACCATGAGGCAAGTGGACTACAGCAGCAGAAGACCACACCAGGTGTTACTCCTGTCAGATAAGAACAGGAAACTGAGGCTACATTACACAGGCTCAACAAAATTGAACAATAAAATATTGGAAAAACGTTGCCTGGTCTGATGAGTCTTGATTTCTGCTGCAACATTTGAATGATAGGGTCAGGAATTGGCATTAACAACAGGAAAGCATGGATCCATCCTGCTTTGTGTTAACAGTTCATGCTGCTGGTGGTGTAATGGTGTGTGGGATATTTTCTTGGCACACGTTGGGCCCATTCGTAACAATTGAGCATTGTGTCAACACCAAAGTCTACATGAGTATTGTTGACCATGTCCATCCCTTTATGACCACAGTATACCCATCCTCAGATGGCTACTTCCAGCAGGATAATACGCCATGTCATAAAGCGTGAATCATCTCAGACTGGTACTAGTAAGGTGTACCTAAAAAGTGGCCGGTAAATATAAAAGAATAAAGTGATCTTGCAAAACTGTTATATTTTCAATATGGATTTACTTAAACTGGCTGACAGTAAAATTTAGATTTTGAACCTTTATAGCTTTCACATAAAGGTTATGTAATATTTAGCAGGTTTACTTGCCAGTGCACTCTTTTCTGTAAATAAGCAGGACACACCCAGTTGCCTATACATCTGCTATGATTATACACTGTTTACACAGACATATAGTCGCAAATGATTGATTAGTGATTGCAAATGAGAGATTAGAGACATAATTGGGTTAAGTTATAAAAATTGAATAAAGTATAAAAGAAATCACCAAGCAGGCTTGTCAGCATCACTTTCACTTTTTCTTCACAGTGCTCTGCGGAAAGAGAAGATTGCACTATTGCAGGTGAAAAACAACATGGCTGCAGATTTGGAGAGACTTCTTAACCACAGAGAGGTAACCGCTGTTTTAGCAAGATAAATAAAATGGCACAGTGCATTAAGTCTTTTACAAGAAAAACTTGAACCAGACCTATTTTTCAAAATACAATTTCAAAGCTTGTTGAGAAAAAAGGGACCTTGAAAATGGCCATTTATTTCTTCCTTGTTTCACTATTTTTGTTTTAAATCAAACCAAATCCAACCATTGAAAATATAAATGCAGTGTTAATTAGAGTGTGTTTGGCCAGGTCAGCATCCCTTAATAATCTGCAATTAACAAATAAATAATACATGTTTAATGGAAAAGGTCTTGGTCCAACTCCTACATATGATTAAGCTTGATTACTGTGAGTCGTACATGAACTACTGTGCTCGTCAATATTTGTAATCTCCTATTGATATCTGACAGTTCAACAAGACCATTCAGAAAAAGGTTGTAAATGTAGTACACCAAGTTTCTCAATATCTGGTCAACTAATCTATGTGACCTTTTTTTGTTGTTGTTGTTTGCAATGTAGTAGCACAACTGGCATCAATATATTAACCTTTTCACTTCCATTCATTTTAGACATTATAAACTGCTCATTATGCTGCCTAATGTTGCAAACTGATATTTTCTTATTATATTATTCTACTTTGTCTGTATAGTCATGAACACACTTGTTTGAAGAACAGGTACTTTGACTGTTTTTTTGCCATTTATTATTCCTAGTTATTTCTCACACAGGTAACTGCATTGGAAGTTCTAAAACAATCGCAAAAATGAGCGCACTTCCGCATTTATGCACAGCTAGAGTTATAAAGCCAACAATAAACTTGTAAAAGCTTAGTGTGACTAGTTTTAATTTCACAAGGTTGTTTTCACAGCATCGATGTTGTAATGTAATTACAATACATTCAGTTAAATAGACTTAAGCATTCATATAGTTGTTCAGGGTAAGATGAAAGATGAAAGACCTAGTAACAATTAGCACCTGTCAGTAGCAACAGGCTAGCGCAGAAACGCAGAAAATACTGAAAATACTGGGGTAAAATAAACTGTCATGCTTTAAAGACATGTGGCGGGGTTTCTTGTCTGATTTGAGACACACTTCATATCGTATATCTAACAGGCAGTGAAGATTGCTGCTTTTTAAATAAATCAGATCTTAAACGTGACTATATTGTAATTAAAAGAAAGTTTACCGGAAGCCATTGGGTTGCCTGGCTGAAAAAGGCTGTGTACATATAGCCCATAGGATACACTCCAAAAATATTTTGGCCTAACAAAGTTTTTGTATTCTTATTACATTTAAAACTTCCATCAATTTAGATTAAATGCTTTTAACATAATTGAACTAATAAACTTTATGTAATTGATATTTAGTTAAAGATAAATAAAACAAAAAAAAATTACTTTTTATTAAATTAATGGGGTGGTCCACTACAATATAATATTTTAAACTTTAGTTTATGCGTAATGTAGCTGTGTGAACATAAACAACATCTCTAAATGTAATACACTCAAAGTTCAATGCAAAGGGAGATGTTGGCTTTTACAGAGTTAGCTTAGCAAAGCCTAGAGCGAACGAAGTTTAAGGACTACAAAAAAAAATACATACGGCTAGTGAGATCACAAACGCTTCATGTTATGCATTCACCCATCGCTACAAAGGGGCATGGCCAGAGGCACTGTAGTTCAATAATGTAGCAGAGAAAGCTGAAATGCCGTCCAAACGCTGCTATTTCCACAGAGCTTAATCTGTTTGTATATGTTGGACTTCTAAAGGACATGACACAAAGACAGAAGTACTTACAATTTAATTTAAATTATGTTCTAGAGCATTGTAAAAAAGATATAGCTAGCATTTGACAAAGGGTAGCTTCCAGAATTTCAGTTCAGTGCAGGATTCGGCAAAAACTTCTCAAAGAAGAAGTAGCTCCAACCATAATAGAAGAAGCTGTGGATAGTGACTCACAACCTGTAAATATTATTATTTATTTAAAATTGATCTATTACATGCACAGTTTCTAGCGTTAACGATATGTTGTAGCGAGGATGTAAAAATACACTCTGGAAACCCTTTAAAACACATTGGATTACATCTATTGTGTGGAGAAAGGAGCTGCGTCAATTTTGCTTGTAGGCATAGACTTTAACTAATTGGATCTAGCTTTTTCTACTGCTAGATATACAAAATTATACCATATATTCTTAGTTTTTAACTGATTAAATCTAATAGTATTTCTTTTTAACAGATTTAGATTGACTCGAAGAAATCTGACAACATACATTTTGAAGAACTGACAAATTAAATAAAATCAAAATATTTCAAACAGTTAATGACAAACTATATTGTGATTTATTTGCATTTTAAAGCATTCCCATGCATGTTCACATTCAACATTAACTGAAGAAAAAGGAATAACATGAATTTTTCAGCACTATCATTATGTAATGTCCATCAAAGTTGTTGACACATGGCTGTGTAAGAGAGAAGTTCCTCCATACTGTACACAAACACAGTCTAGTCTAGGTGTGTCCTCTTTCATTGTTCTCCAGTCATCCAGCCTGCCATTCCAAATACTGGTTACACTGTCTGCCTACCATTTTTCTCTCGGTAAAAAAGTCATACCTTCATCATAAAGCCTGTTATGCCAAAATCTCAGTGCTCTTGTAGCTGATTGATAGATGCCTCGGTTTTGTATGTTTAGGATGCTTTCAGTGCAAGTCAGTTGCGATAACAACGTTCCTAGAAGTTTGTGAGATGCACGGAAACTTGAAAATCCAGTCTCTCAGGTCAACTGTTTCCCATGCTCAAGTCATCAGATTAGCAATAACCTTGCGGCCTGTTGCTTCTTTTGATGACAGACAGCTAATAGATTGCCTCATTGAGGTGAACTGATGTGTAACTTCAAAATCTACTTGACCCATGGGGACTGACTGTAATGTTTTGTGCATTTAGGCTGCTGTCAATGTTCGGGAGTCTCAAAGTGACACGTTCAAACAACAGCTTACTGCCTATATGAAAGTGCAATCAAAGTCAAGTTTTTTTTTTTTTTTTTTTGGTACAATTATCTGTTGCCATAGCAACTGTAGCTATGTTTACATTTAAAGTTGCAAATTTAGCATTTACAATCCTAAATTTAAATTAATTAATTTGAATTTTGCATAAATATTTGAATAAAAAGCAATTTCAATGCAAAAAAGAGATCGGTTTCAACTGCATGTGCAAGAAAAGTTTTATATCAATTGAAAATAGTTTAAGACAGCATCAACTTCACCAGAGCATCAGAGATATTTGCGATGATGAACTATGTTTAGCTCTCTTGTGTTTGGAGGTGTGCTTGATGTTGATTGAGATAATTACTATAAAATAGCATTATGATGATACACCTTTACTTTACTTTTCTTGTTTTAAGACAACATTTAAAATGATTCGTGACGAGGCCTGTCTGTGGGAAGTCCAGTTAGCCAGTCTATTCAGCCTAAATCACTTGCTTTTTTTTGCGTGAATTCAGTAAATGGGTTTCCGTTGCAGTTATGTGCATAATTTATAATTTTATAAAAGAAAAATTAGACTCAGTTGAGCACATTGTTTTTATTTTCATACTGCTTTAATCCTGGATTTTTTTCTTAGGTCATTTGGGGGAAAATTTTCAACATAAACATTTTACACGTTCATAAATCCCTTTGTAATAAAAAGACAAAATATTGACATACAACAAAATGTCATCATGATTCTCCATAAATATAAAATAAGTTCAAAAATGTTTTGACTCAAATGCTGAAAATCTGAGGAAATTACAATTGTTTTGTACAAAACCTTTATTTAAGGAATATTTACTGAAGTGAAATACTATACAAAATAACTGTGTTTCAATCAGAAAACCAAATCAGAATATTTTACTTAAAATTGTCATCACTTTCTCATTACACTGACTGCTGCTGTAAATTTCGTGCTTCTGTTCCTGAGTTATGATTAACAATTTCATTACTCATTTCTCATCTCAATTCCTCAGTATAACAAACAATAAAACATCTTAGCATTGTAAAACACAACATGAGTTTCAGATGCAGCTCTAAAAACAACAGAAGCATCCTTAAAATAATCCAGAAATAACATTTCACAGTCACTCAGAGTCCAAACACATGTAAACGGAATTTTGAAGAGAATAAGCCACTCTTCTCTTCACTCTTGTAATGCCTGTACTTGGTTTGAGCTCCCAGGTGTTTTTGTGGGTGCCTTTGACATTGTAAATGCCAATGTCCTGAATAATCTCCTTCAAGTAAATCTACAAAAAGCAAGGAGATGAGTTTTTAAAAGTACATGACCATTTAGAAGTTTAGGGTCATTAACTAGTGGCTTTAAGCCTTATACAATACACAGTGGTCAGCATAATTGAGTACACCCCATTTTGAAACTGAAAATGTTTATCCATTTCTCAGTGAATACTGGCAATGTATTTTTGTGCATTTAAACAAACTGCTTTATTAAACAGATATATTTATTAAAATAATATTTTAGTCATCAAAAATGTTTACAAATTAAAAGATAAAACAATTAAATTCAAGCAAAATATTACAAATAAATAAATAAATAAACTTACAACCTACAAAATTTCAACTTAATATTTCCATTAAAAAAATAAAAATTCTATAACATATACATTTGTGTGTACTAGTTTTCGGACCGTTATCGTAATTTATTTTGTTAGATAAGCTCTAGATTTGGCTTCAGTACTGACTAATCTGATGTAAATGCACAAATATAATATTGTATAGCTTCCTATTAAAAATATGATTTTAAAAGATAGATTTGTAAGGGGTGTACTTATATATGATGAGCACTGTAAATTTGACAAAACTAAAGTGAAGTTTTAATTTCACCCATCAAATGTTTAACTAAAAGAACCTGGAAGTGGAACTTTAGAGTCGCACACAGACCACAAAACTGGATGGACTGAACTAATTTGCTGTAAGAGCCTTTTTTCCTCGGTGTTTAAGACGTCAGTGTGCTGTATCACTTTTTGTGT